AAAAAAAAAGAAAAAGAAAAAGAAAAAGAAAAAGAAAAAAGGAAAAAGGAAAAGAAAAGAAACGAAAAAGAAAAGCAAAGCAAAATAAATATATTAATAGTATTTTTGTTTCTCGAATATGAAATCATTAAAAACAAAAAAAAAAAAAAAAAAAAAAGAAAAAAAAACGATAGATCATTTTGATTCAACGAAACAAATAGTTATTGTAAATTTTCGAGATGGCAATTATACACTGGAACAGTTAATTACGAAAACCCATGAAACGTATTCATTCTCCCTGAAGTCTGTCCATAGAGAGAGAGAGAGAGAGAGAGAGAGAGAGAGAGAAAGAGAGAAAGAGAGAGAGAGAGAGAGAGAGAGAGAGAGTAAGAGAGAACTGGCGGTAAACTTTTCGCTACGATTTGCCACTGTCTCAAACATAAAGCATTAGCTATCAGGAGAAAACAATGCTCGAAGTGTATTCTGTAACGCCTGGGAGGTGCCTGTCACAATGCTACCCAATAATTTAGCTTTCCTCCCCTATTATTGTCGTCATTAGACAAACTCGCAAAGACTCTATATATTTTATTTCAATTCTTACGCATACACACGCACACGCGCGCACACACACACACACACACGCGCGCGCGCGCGCGCGCGCACACACAATAATTTTAAGCTCTTTACTTCTTACAGAAAGAATCTTACAAATTTATTTAATAAATATTATCTTAGAAATATTTGAGAAACTTCGTTCGTCGTTCAATAAAAATCGTATTTCTCTCTTGCATAAAAGAAAAAAGAAAAAAGAAAAAAGAAAAAAGAAAAAAAAGAAGAAGAAAAAGAAAAAGAAAAAGAAAAAAATAATAACAACAACCAACGTATCATTCGCCAATTATATCTTCCAACATCGTCGAAATGATAGAGGAAAAAAAAAATTGAAAAAAGAAGAAGAAAAAGACAAAAAAAAAATAAAAAAAAAAACAAAAAAGAAATAAAATGAAAAATTTTTCAAAAATACGCTTTAAACGGAGTTTTCAACGAGTAACGAGAATTATTACGAGGCACGTAACGTGTACCGTAACATTAAGAGTAAACAGGATGGAAAACAATGGCACGATTGTAAGAGAAACAAAAACTTTCATAAATTGTGAAATTTTCGAAGTTTCGTCGATCGGTCGACATTATGGCATTATACGAGAGAACGTTCGGCAAAACTCGTAAAACATGACGGCGACGTTGGTCTTCGATGGCAAGTCGCTAGACTAGTGGAAAGAAGAAGAAAAGAAGAGACAGAAAGAGAGGTAGAGGTAGAAGTAGAGGTAAAGAGAGAAAGAGAAAGAGAAAGAGAGAAGAGAGAGAGAGAGAGAGAGAGAGAGAGAGAGAGAGAGAGAGAGAGAGAAAATTCCATCTGAACATAAAGTTCCTTCTCGGAAGGCAGTTTCTCCAAGCGTGTTCGAATCGAGTACGCGCACACAAACACACACATGAACACATGCACATATATATGCTTGTGTGTATATATATATATATATATATATACATATTACAGAGAGAGTGTGTGATTGCGGTGCGAATCGCGACGCGTATTCGCGAGAGAAAGATCGGAAAAATATACGCGTACGTTCGCGAGCGCGTTCCTCGGCGATTGTCTGCAAAATTCACTGATCAAAAGAAAAATGGAAGAACGGTTTTATCGAAAGGATTCATTTTATAGCGTTCGGGCATTCTCCTCTTTTCCTATCCTATCTTATTCTCTCCGCAAGCTCCACTCACCCCCATATACCAAGGTTATACGTTCGAAGCTTCGAGCAACGAATTCATATGTAGGTGCACGTGCAACCACCCCTCCTTCACAACCTCTACCTATCAACCACCAACTCTACTATCTACTTCACTTTACTCTCCCCCCTCCTCTATATATATATATATATATATATATATATATATATATTATATATATATATATGTATATATATACACATATATCTTTCTTTTTCGTTCTCTCTCTCTCTCTCTCTCTCTCTCTCTCTCTCTCTTTCTCTCTCTCTTTTTCTCGCTTGCGCATTGGATTGAGGGCAAAACTGGATTTCGATTTCTCGCAGGTGACTTCGAAAAGACGGCAACATTCGTGCGAATCTTCGAGGAAGACGAGGGCCAAGAAGTGAAGGAGTTGTCTGTCGTTTCTACGAGAAACATATGAGAAAGTATAGATAGATAGAGAGAGAGAGAGCGAGAGAGAGAGAGAGAGAGAGCGAGAGAGAGAGACTTGCAAGACTCCTTTGAAGAGAACTCGACGGATATATTGGAAAATTGCTACCTCGCGGTTATTCTCCCACGCTGGAGAAAACCATACTGGCATTACATCTATATATATATATATATATAGGTAGATATATACCGGATGTGACGAAAGTCAGCCCGACGAAGAGGTCTCTAGATCTTTACTGTCGAATGTTCTTTATAGTTTTTAATATCGCAAGATTGGGAATGGTCTTTATGATAGATTTTTCTACGAAGTGGATTTGACCCACTCACCTCTAAACTATATTAGATTTTTTTTTTCAGTCTATTTGGAATAACTACCATTCTATCTATTTCGAATTATATACTATAAAACTAACCAATTAGAGATCTGTTATAAAATATTTAATTGAGATATATAACGTATATTAATTAAAAGTAGAGTAATAATTGCGATATGTTGGTATCTCGTATTTCATTAAGTTTTTTCTATTTATTAAGTACATATATATATATATATATATATATATATATATATATGACACACTTTCTAACTCATTTATACACAGACACGCGAGCGCAACGCATATGAAATAAACAATAATAAGTGTTTCATATATCTAAAAATTTTCAACAAAAACATTAAAACATTTCAATCGAATAAAAAATATAACATAAAATATTTTAAAAGATACAATTTTATGAACTTACCCCCTTATCAAGGATACGACAGAGACTGTCTTCATTCAGTTAGTTTCTTAAGAAGAATGCCAGAGTCAAGGTATCGTTAGTCACGCGATCACTTAACGAATTCTCATGAGAGATCTCTGCTGCTCTGGCGAGCGAATGTTTTACCGCTCTAAGTGTCTCTTCTCGCTTGAGGTACTTGTGACCGACTTAAAGTAGACACGTGCGCTTTATAAAAGATCTAGACGTACATATATATATATATATATATATATATATATATATATATATATATATATATATAATATATAAATAATGTATATATATGCATGTATATATGTATCTATATATATATACGTAAGTGACCTTAAGTGATTTTTCTTGAACACTTAAAAAATTTTATACAGAGAATATTTCATTGACATCGCACCTTTCAAATCGAACAATAACTTAATTATTCAAACCTTTCGATTACAATTTTTTTTCTTTTTTTTTTTTTTTTTTTTTACATTTCACACACAAATCGCAGGTGTATATCCGCGAAAAAAGAAAAAAAAAAAGAAAAAAAAGAAAAAAAAGAAAAAAGAAAAAGAAAAAGAAAGTATTCAAACAAAGACAGTAGATATCGCTTATGCAATAGAAAATGGTACGATTTTTCATGCCAAAACTGAAAAAGCTTCCGTTTGAATCTCCTCGAGGTAGTGGAAAAAAAAAGAAAAAAAAAAAAAAAAAAGAAAAAGAAAAAAGCAAAAGCTTGAACGTACCTCGAACGCGGCTTTAACGAAACATCCAAGGAAAAACACGAAACGTTCACGAAAAAAACCTCCATTAGGAGTACCCTTTTCATTTTCCATTCGTAAACTACAGACCCCTATCGAAAACTAAAAGTTCGTAAAACCGTGTACGCGTATTCACGTTTAATCGGGACTCTAGGTAATCATTGACGTGTCTGCTTCTTTTCCTCAACGCAAATATCCTTCCTTCGAGCTCTCTCGTATTCGTATTAACCGCAAATCTCGTATTCCTGATCGATATTGCTTTGATCTAATGGTTTATGCAGAATACGTGGGAAAACGCGATAAACGTTGCATACTCACTGAATTGGCTCATATCGCGAGGATTGTAATCATTAATCAAAGAAGAGAGAGAGAGAGAGAGAGAGAGAGAGAGAAAGAGAAGGAAAAAGAGATAAAGAGATAGACAGATAGAAAGTTTATATGCATGTAAATTAATATTTTACTTGATTTCGTCGAAACTAATCAGAATGATTTTTGTAAATGATCATAATACATTCTACATATATATATATATATATATATATATATATATATATATATATATTTATTATACATTTCGATATAGTCATATTATGTACCAACCGTTCAAATTATAATCCTAATTTTGTATTCTCTCAACAAATTCAAATATAAATCTTTTCTACTTTTGATAATAACATATTACATGTAATATCTACATATAAGCGTAAAAAACATGTACGCGTAAATATACCACCCACCAAAGAAATTTATATACAATAAAATTATATTCCTACTAATTTATTTTATTAAATAAATAAATAGAAAAGTCATGTCCCCGATGGTATCTCATATGACGTAAATGCTTAAATATATTATATGTGAAAATATTAATTGATTTTTTTTCCTTCTCTCTCTCTCTCCCTCTCTCTCTCTCTCTCTCTACCTCCCTCTCTCTCTTTCTATCTCGTATTCACTATTAAAAAGATGTCAAGATGACGATAGTAAAGGACAGAGAAGATACAGAGAGTGATGTGGAAAGGAGATTACGCGTTCGATAGAACGAAGCACGTGCAAGCACTGCTCGAGGCTAACTTGGAAGCCGAATGCGGGATAACAGAGAAAGAGAGACAGAGAGTGAGAGAGAGAGAGAGACAGAGAGAGACAGATAGACAGAGTATAGGGATGTGGTAAAAGGGTTGTCTCTGAGTGAGCCGTGGAGAAAGGTAGAGAGAGAGAGAGAGAGAGAGAGAGAGAGAGAGAGAGAGAGAGAGAGAGAGATAGAGATGCTACATGTTTCGTGATACTCAGTAATGCTGTGGAGCGTGTACTTACACACTACGGTAAGATTCTTCGAGGCGGAGGCTGTGAAGAAGGTCGGCGCGTCTGCTGTAACTTCGCAGCTGAACGTACCCGAGAGGGCGAAGTCAACGTTGTGCAGCGTTACCTCGTTGTTGTTGGACTTACCAGCCTGAAACCGCACATTGAAAATGTACTGACGTCGTATTCATGTTATCACTCAGACACAAGATATATTTATAACTTATCACTATTATCAATTAATATTTATTATTATTTATTCACTATATATAATCGTTCGTTATACACATATGTATTCGTCATTTTTCAACAACACACATAAACAATGTAAATAACGTAAATCGTTTGTTTTATCAATGAAATGAATTTCCACGTAAATTCTAATTGATTAAAAAAAAAAAAAGAAAAGAAAAATCTCAATATTATTAACACGAAGGATTTAATAAGATAATTTCTAATTTTATTCTTCGTCTACTTTCAAATTTTCTCAATACTTCGGAGATAACGTTTTAAAAATCTTTACGTGAGCAAAGACGAGACGAGACTGAACGTGACCTACTAATAGTAGTAGTATTTCTTCTTCCTTTAATCGATAAGTTGTTAATGTATACAAAGAATAACGAATTGTCCTCCAGGTATGTTTTTAATATAAAAGAGAGAGAGAGAGAGAGAGAGAGAGAGGAGAGAGAGAGAGAAATATAAACAAAATGTAAGAACAGCTTAACTGGTCGTAGATATATGAATATGTAAATATTTTGAATCGTTTATATGTTACCAACTCGTATCTTGCGTATGTATTTATGTATATATGAAACAATATGGAAGAAAGTATAGATAGTCTTAGAATCAATTTATATAATGTTTATGAACACGTCTGATATATACATATCCATAATTTTTCTTCTTCTTCCTTTTCCTTTTTTAAATCGTTCTTATCGTTTGTTTTATCGTTTCGAAAAAAAGAAAAAAAAAAAAAAAAAAAAAAGGAAATAGTAATAAAGTAATTGAATTAATCGACATTTGATTTTAAGGAAAATTCATACATTTATTGACAGATAAAATATTATCTTGAATATCTTGAAAAATATGAAACAAAATTTCTTAACGATAAAATTTATTATTATTAAAAAAATCCGACTCATTGATATGACAGATTAAAAATTAAATTTATGCTCACGTATTTATTCATTAAACATTGATTTTTCCTCGATATCGTTAAAATATAAAAATAAATGAATAGACAGATCGATTATGTAAAGAAATATTTCTTGATTGAAGGGATTAAATCGATCTAGTTATCTGCATCAATTTGTTTCCATAATATGCTTATAAAAAAAAAATAAAAAAAAAAAAAAAGAAAAAAAAAGAAAAGAGATCAATTAAATTGAAAATTCGTTGTCTATCTGTCAAATAAATAAAATACAATATTTAGAATTCTTCCGATCTTTTTTTTTTTTTTTTTTTTTTTATTGCAACGTATAAATTAATTAAACATTCAAATCAATTCACAATGCATAATGAATAAAAAATTTACTTTAATCTAAAATTCCTTTTTATTTATCTATAATTTAAATTATACGAGAAAGTTAATGAAGGATGAATATAAAAAAAAAAAAAGAAAAGAAAGAAAAAACACCCCTCCCCCCCGGAAATAAAAGAGATTCATTGAAGGAGTCACGAAAAGCATATTCGAGGATAGCTGTTAAAGGAGAACTATGTATAATTTAATCGGGGATCTTTCCAAATTGTTTCATTAGCATTTCATCGGTTTGATATCTTCTTTATCGTCGATGGAAATTCGAGAAAGAGATAGATAGAAAAGGCTTTTATTATCAATATTCGCTTTCAACGTTCGTGGACGTTCTTACGGCCGTACTTGAGTAAATCAACGTCTTATCAGAAATTATCTAGCACTCGGATAAATTGACCCGATGAACCTAAGTGGCGGAGATGAAGGCAAAAAGGAAGGAAAGAGAGAGAGAGAGAGAGAGAGAACAGAATCGAAGAAAATGGAGAAGGAGGAAGCGTCAAAGAGGAAAGGTTTAATCGGTACGGTCAAAGGATTGTATGCGTAATTAGAGAAGGTCAAATAACGAACGAAGGTAAGAAACTGAAATAAGAGAGAGACAGAGAGAGGAAGAAAACGAAAGAGAGAGAGAGAGAGAGAGAAAGAGAGAGAACAAAAAAGAAAATGTGGAGAAAGCGAAACGAAGGAATGGCGGTTCCTTTGACGAAACGAAAGTAAGGCAAACGAATTCTACCTATTTGATTTAGAAAGAAACGTAACACGAAAGAAATAAACGGCAGAAAGTAACTTGGTGTCGTTTGAAAAAGAACTCTCTCTCTCTCTCTCTCTCTCTCTCTCTCTCTCTCTCTCTCTCTCTTATTCTCTCTCTTTCTCTCATTCTCACTCTCTTTCCCTCTATCTTTTCAAAAGTTTCAAACCAAGAGAGGAGGAAAATTTTCATGATAATTCTTATGATTTTGATTAAAGAACACGAGGAACTGTACCTTTTGTTCTTCTAGAACAAGAAAAACGAAAAAGAAAAAAACCTTCCCCCCCCCCGCCCCAAGAAAGTATGAAAAAAAAAACTGACAATTCCTATTGATATAAATAAAAGATAACGAGACTGAGAGTGAAAGAGAGAGAGAGAGAGAGAGAGAGAGAGAGAGAGAGAGAGAGAGAGAGAGAGAGAGAGAAGTTGTGGGAACCAAAATGGGAAATCGAAAATGACAAAACACGTTTGAGATAAAGTTTGATCTAGTTTTTGCCGATAAAAGAATATCGACGAAACGGATCATACTTTTCTCGATATTCTCTTCTATATAGAAGAACAAAAAAAAAAAAAAAAAAAAAAAAGAAAAAAAAAGTGAGAAACGACTCTAGTTGTAGATCTATCGTCCTTTTCCCCTCTAACCCTTCCCGCTCTCTCTTTCTCTCTCTTTTTTCTCTATCTCTCTCGAATTTGAAAATAACGAAAAGCGTATGCAACGAAGCGATTGAACGTGAATCGCAAAATCGCGTGAAGAAAAATGGAAAACGATAAAAGGGTCTGAATCGTGTGTCCGAGATCATTCGATCGATTCGAAATAACGAAGTCCCTTACCACGCTCGATCTAAAGATATGTGTGTGTGTGAGTGTGTGTGTGTGTGTGATATGTGTGTGAAAAGGGGTCGGTTAACTCGAAATCGTCGTCCTCACAAAAAGAAAAAAAAAAAGAAAAGAAAAAAAGGAATAAAAAAAAAAAAAAAAGAAAAAAGTTTAGGTACGAAGGAGATGAAAAAGCTTCAAGGACATTGGAGACTGTTAGATGTGGAAGCGTCGAAACGACAATAAAAGCTTTGAACGATCAAACGGGACTGTTTTACGACGATTAGATAGGTCAAGGGTACTGTTAACGAGGACCGTCCGAGGTGGTAAACGACGCGTCGCAGCATCGACGATAAAAGCACACCGCCATATTTCGTCCCTTCCTTCTCTCTCTCTCTCTCTCTCTCTCACCCCCTCTCTCGCCCTCTCCTTTCGTCGATTCAACATCGCTTCCGAGCAGCATAAATCAAGAAATATGGAAGAACGCGATTCGAACGACTTTATTACGGCTATATATACATCATCCGTTCGTTTAGGATTCGTCGTGATTGCAACCTGTTTGGATATGAATGATGTGTGTGTGTGTGTGTGTGCGTACGCGTGCGTGTGTGTATATGTGTAGATAAAAAACTCTTGAAAAAAAAAAAAAAAAAAAAAAAAAAAAAATAAGCGAACTTTTGAAAATTTATCTACTTCGTTAATTTAACTTTTCTTTGGATTTTTATTTATAGGGGGAAGGGAAGGGGACGGGAAAAGAAGGGAGAGAAAGGAAGAGTCACTTCTCAAGATACTTCTTATTTAATGATTTTCTTTTTACCTTCTCTCTCTCTCTCTCTCTCTCTCTCTCTCTCTCTCTCTCTCTCTCTCTCTCTCTCTCTCTCTCTCTCTCTCTCTCTCTCTCATCATTATAAATAACAAAATTTGTATTACTATTTTAGAGAATGCTCATATTGTTATATTATTAGATTGACCTTTTAAAATTCATTTATATTTATATTATATAACGAATACTCGTACTATTGAACATTGAAATAATTATTTGTTATATATGGCAAGGGAGATTACTGAAATACTAAATATTTTGAAACCATCAATTGAGAGTTCCTGAAATCGGATTAAGCATGATTTAAATGGAAAAAAAAAAAATAAAAAAAAAAATAAAAAAAAATAAAAATAAAAAACACAAATTTATATATATATAAACAAAAGTACATTTCGTGGATTGTAATTCAGTTTGTGATTAAACTCTTGAAACGCAAAATAAACGAACGATTTTCCGAGCGTATTATTATGGACGAACGAAAATTTGATTGTTTGCAATAATACAAAATGAAAAAAAAAAAAAAAAAAAAAAAAAAAAAAAAAAAAAAAAAAAAAAAAAAAATCACTACAATAGATTAGTATCAGTATCACTAAAAGGAGTTCAATTATTTGCCAAGATATAATAAAATTACATACATATTTGCAGATTGGTCAAATATTAACAGAAATGAAACGGAATATTTTCATTCATTTTCAATATTCGCCTAACATTGTTCTGATCGGATTAATTACTTATTCCGATCTCTTCAGAATAAGTTCTCAGAACTTTAAGTTCCTGGTAATCTGCGAAATGACACGGAGCATTTTTGAATCACAAAAGTTTGGAAAATTATGAAAGGAAGTACATAATTATACAATTTCTCAGGAGATGGTAACGGATCATTCAACAAAATTTTATATAGATTATTGAAAATAAAATTTTATTACATTAAATTTTATTCATGAAAATTAAAAATTGATAATTATGCTTAATAAAAAATAATCGACGATTAATATATTTACGAAGTTTCCACCTATTGATCTTTATGGGAATAGGAAACAAAAAAAAAAAAAAAAAAAAAAAAAAAGAAAAAAATAATAATAATTCTCATTTTAAGCCGATCTAATAATAATACAGGACAATTTCGAATGAAATATTTATTCAATAAACGTGAGCGATCAAGTATTGAATAATAGTTAGTAAATTACTGAATAAATAAGCCAATCGCAATGGTTGCGTTTTTGTCAGAGAAAATAAAAAAACAAAAAGAAAATTTTTGGCTCATAGTGTGTTTGAATAATCTATTATTAAATATTATATTCGTCTTAGCTAATTATAAAAGACAATATATTTCTACGTCGAAGAAGATATCGAAAAACAAAGAATAATCAATATGAATAATGGTGGGATTATCAACATCTCAATTAAGAATTTAATACCAAAGAAATTGAAAACATTTGTTTTATCAAAAATTCTAACCCTTTTCTAAATTCATACCAATCTCCCTCAATATTGCCCTATACATTATAATAAAAGTACAGTGGAAACCTTACCCTTATAAGATGGCGAATATCCATCAGGTTTTTACATGAAATTTTTATTTATCATCGATTACACGGAGGCGCAAAAAAGAAAAAAGAAAAAAGAAAATAAATAAATAAAAAAAGAAAAGAAAGAAAAAGAAAAAAAAGAAGGTAGAAGTCGTAAACTAAATCTTCCTTGCTTATAAATTTTTTGTTACCACAGGGAACGATCAACGTACGAGACGTGTATGTGACACTCGAACCATTAATAAAGTAATAAAGAGTTAGAGAGATGGGTCGTCGCTTGTAATACCAAAACAAAACTCCACTATATTTGCATTCTTTTATATTAAATAGTATTTTATTAAATATACTATTTTGGTTGGCGAACTTGCTTATAAAAATATAAAAGAAATGTATAAAAATATATTAAAGAAATATAACTTACATCAACGTGTATTCCAGTGATATTAAAGATCTTGTTGGTCTGTTCCTCGTTCGGTGAATATCGGTAGAACTCGTACCTACCGCGGTACCACTTGACAGAGTAAAGGGGCACCCTCTCGAGATCATAATGGCAACGTAGAATCACCTCCTGACCACGTTGCACCGCCTCCGGAACCACTTCCAAGCTGACGTTCCGCAGGCACCTCGCACCTTTGTGGAAAATGAGAACGGGAACGGAGCATTAAGTCTAGTGTGCATCATTAGTCCGCCTTTACTCATCGTGCCGGGGGTTACACAGCACGCGTCAGCGAGAAATTGCAATTCCACCGAATGACAATTCCTCGCTTTCTCTCTAGACCAACTCTTTCCTCCCTCTCTCTTCCCTTCCCCAACCCTTTGCTCGCTCTCTCTCTCTCTCTCTCTCTCTCTTTCTCTCGTTTCATCTTTATCCAGTACTTTATACTCTTTCGCACCAACGAACACGCACGACACTTGTATGTGATTATGCTTCTACTACTACTACTACTACTACCACCACCACCACCAACCACCCCCTCCCCCGCGCCTCACTCCTCACCTCTTCTCGTTCTTTTTTCTTTTTTTTCCTTTCACCCACAAACCACCCCTTCTCCCTCCTATATGTCCCGCCATTCCGCAATGACGTGCAGCACGCGACACTCAACCCGACTTCGACCCCATAATTCCTTCGCGTAATTTTTTTTTCGCTGACGCTCCGTTTTTCTTCGGATTTATCGACGATTCAAACCTTTCAATTGGTGTTCTCTCGTTCGATCGACTCCTTGAGAATAACACCCCTATCGAGATATAAGTATCGCCTGCTCTCATTCTTTTTTTTCCTTTTTTTTTTCTTTTTTCTTTTTCTTTTTTTTTCCTTTCTTCTTTCTTCTCTTTTTTCTCATTCTTGTCATTTTCCACACGGATGAGAATTTTGTTTAATTATATGGTATAATGGTGGTACAATGCAAAAAAGAAAAAAAAAAAAGAAAAAGACGCTTTTATCATTGCTTTCGATCTTTCAATCCCGAAATGTATGCACGCGATAACAAAGTTAGAAAAATTTTTAATTTGGTTTTCATAATAACGTGATAACACCAATTACGGTGTTACAATAATTTTTTAAGTTTCTTCGTTACTGCAATATTTTTCTCCTTTAGCTTTTAAAATACTTACTCGTATAATATATAGTTAGTAAATATCAAAAAAGAAAGGGGGAAAAAAAAATATATATATATATATTTTTTTTTCCTTGTTAAGAAAACATACATTAAAGGATCAAAAAGTAAAAAAAATCTCTTCTATGCTTTTATAATTTTATTCTAACGTAAAGTATGAAAATGTAGCAATACGATTTGATGAATACTCTTTTCACCGTCGAAATCGACAAAATATTCTTTCATAAACATTTTCTACAAAAGAAAAAGAAAAAAAAAAAATGAAAAAAAAAATGAAAAAAAAGGACAAAAAAGAGAGGAAAAAATAGAAAAAGAAATGAATTTTTGCGAACGACGATTTTAGGGGTTGCTGTCGCGAAAATCGTAACAGGCAAAGAAATGAAAATTCCCTTCCTTTCCCTACGACGACTCAAGCGGTGTAAGTCGGAAAAGCTGTCTTCTTTCCTTTCATTTAGAATTGAAAGAGATACGGTACGTACGTTAAACTTTCCACGGACTACTTTTCGAGAAACACTTTATTCTGAAGTCTACCTTCACGTTCCATCGTTCATCTCTCTTTGATATGCACCGTCCAAAATGTGCATCATCATCATCATCATCATCATCATCATCATCATCATCATCATCATCATCATCATCTCTTTCTCTTTCTCTCTCTCTCTCATACACTTAAAGCTCCTAACCCGTTAACTTTTTATGCACCAAAACACCAGAATCAATTACAACTCTTAACTAATTACTCGTAAAGCAGGCTAATTAGGTAAACGTACTTGTGACCTTTTCAACTTGTTTCTTTTTCCATGAGAAAAAAACAAAATAAATAAATAAATAAATAAATAAATAAATAAATAAATAAATAAATTAAGATAGGTTTGATAAAAGTAAGATAAGAAATTATTACATATTTTGTTCTTAACAAACGAAACGAAAAGATGTGAAAATGTTCGAAAATACTTCCACGTATTTTATATTTCGTAGAGACATTTAATTTACCAACCTCCCTAATGAAGCTAATTACTCCTCTGCAGTTCCCCCCCCCCCTCTCTCTCATTCGAATCGTAAGAATCCATGAATAGGAAAAAGGCAAATAATTTTTATCGCTCTATTTCGTCGAATGTAAGAAAGTGTAAAATGGTATTAAATCCGACAATTAACGATGAGTATAAAGTAAGAAATAGAAAGAGAGACAAAGAGAGATGGAGAGAGATAGATAGAGAGAAAAAAAGCAAGAAAGAAAGAGAGAGAGAGAGAAAGAGAGAGAGAGGAAGGAAGAAAAAGTTAAAATTATTATATAAGAATACAATGACGTCAATCTCTAAATTATTAAATTGATCAAATTATAATGGTTTTATGATTGTTCTTATTAGCAGGTAAATGTTCTGATAAAATTCATTAGAGAGAACCTAGTTAATTAGTCTCTTACATGTGTATATATATATATATATATATATATATATATATATATATATATATATATATATATATATATATATCTTATATATCTTATATATTAATTGCCTATGCACGTGCTGCTAATATCATCATTAGCTTTATATTCAAATACATATAACGTAACGTGTCTCCATTAATTTTCGCTTTTCCAGAGATCATTAATACGAATAAATTTTATCAAAAATCATTATTTAGCTTTATATATCGGAGGAGAATTTTGGAAAATAGATAAAACAAGCGACCAAATCGTTAAATCGAAATAGCGATCGTCATGAGACCTATATATCGCTAGTAAATATAATAAATTGATATTTTAAACATTTGAATTTTATTTTTTATATTTTATATTAAATAAGAAAAAAAAAATAAAAAGTATCATTACAATGATATTTATAGATCACGCGAGTTCCAATAATTTTAAGTTCCTGCGCAAAGATTTAAGTTTTAACGATCGTAATAATTTTTTATAAACATAATTTTTTAAATATTCTGATAGATTGAAATTATTATTAATTCATGAATGAATTTCGAATAAAATGTATTCACAATACAAAAATTATTTGTCACGAAATCTTTTTTTTTTTTTTTTTTTTTTTTTTTTTTTTTTTTTTTTTTTTTTTTTTTTTTTTTTTTTTTTTTTTTTTTTTTTTTTAATTTTATATTTATATTTCATACGACAGACCGTCGTTGTATATGGACATCTAATAGGTGCAAATAGAACAAAACGATTCGCACGATGGTATTTAGTATGAAAATAATAGATGCTTTTCTTGGCCATCCTTAAAATATCCCATACTTCGACCGCAAAAGATTTAAAATTCGTGATTAGGAAATTACGGCCGATAAGATAATAATTTCCTCTTTACAATTAGCAGCGAAGTGTTTCCTTTGACGGCCAACAGTTACGTTTGTTCTCTTCCTCATCTTTCCTCAAACTCCATCAGCTCTCGCGTCGTCTCTCGTTCCATCCTTTTCATAACTTTGAAATTTATAACGAAGTTTTAATAACCACTCTTCTTCCGGCGTGAAGGGAAGAGAAGAGCAGCCGACAGGTTACTCGTTGTATCACGATAGAAGAGAAAACGACGCTTTGAATATCGTTTCTCTCCTCTCCTCTCCACTCCTCTCATCTTAAAATTATTATGCGTTAAATATTACCCTCAAGCGTATTCCTCTACGCAAGTGACGCGTTATCACGATTAATGAATAATTAGCGTATTTGATACGCCTTCATTGATATCCAATGGCCCCGTTGCGTCATTTCTGTGTCATCGTTCATCGATCCTTCACGTAATATAACGTGCATATATAGTTCAAGCGGGAAAATTACTTCGATATTCACAACTGCAATGCATTCATGATTCACGAGCCTAACGAACTGAAACAAATATGAACTCGGTCTAATTGGCAATGTACTAAATATATACAATTTCTTTGCTAATTTTTTCTTTCACCCCTCCCTCCCTCCTCCACAAAGAATTTTAGATCAAATATTTGAAAATCTATATATGTAATTTATTAGAACTTTGTAATTAATTATTATCGATTTATTAAATATTACATAAGATTCTTCAACAAAGATTTAAATGATATTACATTATTATATGCCGTTAATCGTATCACGTCGTAGACCGTAATTAGCCGTGGTCTCTTACAATCATTTTCTAAATAAAACGCGTGACGATAATAAGCGTCATTTACGACGAACTTTTAAACATTCTTAATCACTTTTTTATTTCTAAAATTTCTACAGATTATAAATGTTCTATTCCCCTGGCTCCCCACCCCCATTTCTTTTTTTCTTTATTTTTAAATATTCTTACACTTTTAACGTTTTAAAATTAAAACATTCATTTTTATTGCTTCCTCGTTATTTCTTAATATTATTTATTTACTTTTAATTGGTCTACGTCGTTTCGACGAATTTATCGTCTTTTTTTTTTTAAATTTCATACCACGTACTATATAAAATTGTTCATTCATCGTTCGTTCTCTTCAGTTTCAATGTCTCCTCTTTCTTTCTTTCTTTTTTTTTTTTTTTTTTCTTTTTATTGATCTTTTTTCCTTCTATATAATCTTATTAAGTTTCGAGAAGATGGGTGCTACGGTGTTCGCGATATAATTCAGGAATTTCCATAGTGTGTGTGCACTTGCCGATACACCTGAGAATGTAATCTAGAGAAATTAAGCAGCGGTCGTAACTGGAAACGACGATGATCAGAATTGCAAAGTCCTGTTTGCGCATTTCTTGTACTTCTGCGTCTATCTAACTGTTCGGTTTCCATCTTTCCGACGCGCTCTCTCTCTCTCTCTCTTTCTCTCTCTCTCTCTCTCTTTCATTTGACTGTACGATGCTTTTCACGCTGCGGTCGGTAAGACGGTAAATAGATAATTCGTAGAACGAGACACACCTGATACTGAAAAATACCAATACAAGTACAGCTGCACGTAGAAATCTCATTTTAATTGAACCGAACAAATAATAGAAGAATTAAATGGGAAACGTGTTAAATTTACTTACAGTACAATTAATAACTACTCGTACATTCATTGTAATTATAATAT